CACATGGCCCATAGTCTTGAGGCAGGAGACTGGCAAGCAGGCTCCTCCAGAAGCCTGTGGTGAGGTCACATTCACCACAAGCATCATTAATCGATTGTTAACGTTTTCTGACCTTAATCTGGAATCGTGCCGTAGTTTCAAGGGTAATTAAAATACAAAATTCAACGACCATTTAACTGCCAGTATTACTGCCAAAATCAGAAAATGTTATTGAAACTGGGAATAACTTGCTAATTATAGGTGTTTTTATTTAGCCTTGATGAATCAATAGCCTGTTGGATATCGAGTGCACTATTCTCTCCTTACGTAGTTAAGTGCACTAGTGCTATTCTGAGAACCGGAATAAAGAGCACTCAAGGGGCCTTGTAAAACCAAACTCCTAGATTAAATTGTAATAGAGCGATTACATTATATAACGCTCACATTTTTAGTTTGTATTTAAGACCTTAGGTTTTCAACCAGGCTTTTGAGTGTTACCTCCTTGTATTGCTGTATATATTGACTGTTCTATGATGTGCACAGTTCCTAATCTAATAAATGCCCCAGTCTGTCCAAGATTAGTAGCAGTTCCACTCCCAATTCACAACTGCCACCCAGGAGTGTAAGTTCCACTAACCTTGGGCTGACCAGGACATGTATTCCTTATAAAAATCATCCAATATAAAAAAACAGTAACACCTAACACCTATATTAGGGGAGAATACCATCTTATGTTTTTGAAGATAATTGTCAAATTCTGTTTCTGGGCAGGCTAATGACAATTCTATGATGCTGCCATAGGTGGAGTTAAACCTCCAGCAGCAGAGGGTTTGAACTTGTAGCAAAATACTGCACATTCAGACTCCAGGCACCATAACAACTTCCAATCACTGAAGTGGTCAATGTGTCTCATGCACCCTTTTAAACTATTCATATATTGTTTATTCAGAATGCTTTCTTTTTTTTCTCTTATGTCACTCCCTGTTGATCATTGCAAGTCTGTAAATTTGGCCTGTTGTAAAAACCATCAAGGTGCCATAGTCGATTAAGCTGTACCTGTTGCTTTTTATAATTAATATCCATTTTCTTAAGGGGGTTCTCCAAGGTTATCAGTGATTACGGTGCTTTGAAACTGCTTCTGCAAACTTATTTTTCAAATTAGTTCCAGCTAGACTTTTTTTTTAGAAAGTCTGATATTAAAGAATGGATTTCACAAATTCATTGTAGTGCTGGTACTCTTTATTAGAGCATTATCTCCAACAGACAATGTTATGGATCTTTCAAGGCCTTCAATATATATTATGTACACACATATAGTTACACTGGTGTTCCCAAATTATTAAATGGACACCATAGTCACTAAAACAACTGTAGCTTACTGAAGCAGTTTTTGTGTATAAATCATGCCTCTGAAGTTTCACTTCAGACATTTAGGAATAAATCACTTTTGTTTCTGTTCATGCAGCCCCAGCCACACTTCCCTTGGCTCTGACGGATACAGGCTCTATGAAAACAAAATGGTTTCATTTTCAATCAGATGTAGCCGACTTTAAAAGTTTTATCTCCTGCTCTGTAAATTGGACATTAATCACACACAGGATGCTCCTGCAGGGTCTAGCAAGCTAATAACAGAGCAGAATATAAGAAATTCTAAATTAAACAGAATTTGCAATATGGAATGCTAAACATTAGATGACTCTTTACAGGAAGTGTTTAGGAAGGCTGTGTAAGTCAAATGCAGGGAGGTGTGACTAGGGCTGCATAAACAAAGTGATTTCATTCTAAAACGGCAGAGAATTGAGCAGTGAGACTGCAGGGGCGTGATCTATAATTTCATTCAGCTAAAGTTATTTTGATAACTATAGTGTCCCTTTAAGATGGAATGGGGTCTGGGTGCCAGAGATTTTGCTGAAAATAATAAACATGGCAAAAATATGAAATAATAATGTATAGTCAGATTCAAACGACTAAAATAAACTGTAGTGGTTATGGTGATTTGAGTGTCCCCTTAAGAATATATAAATAATGTTATTTTTCATACATTTATTTATGTATAATAAATGTGTTGTGCACAATCCTAAATGTACTACGTAGCCTTTTATTTATTCTCCCCTGTGCGAAAAGAAGAAGCATACCAGTTTGATTTTATAAAAGCTAATGCGAAATTAGGATAAACATAAATTGTACATACTTTGAGAATAAATTAATTACTCAATTCAACAACAAAACAGTTGACTTTCAGCTCCTTGCTGCTGTTTTATGAGAAAAGTCAACACAATCTCCACAAATTAGTGCAGAAGGCTAAAAAAAAACAACCAGTGCAATTTTTTATTATGTTAAATTGGCCCAGTAGACCTGATAAATCAAGTGTCGTGCAAGCATTTAATCATGGAAACAGATTACTGAGTCAGTCTTTCTGCAGCAAGTTTGTGGTGACTCAGAAACCAACTTTTAGGCACCATTTAGGCCAGAAAATAGTCCATCCATTAAACTAAATATTCATGGTCATAGAGGTGTCTTCCAATACATAAACATGTAATAAGTGCTAAATTGGGCCAGTGTTATCCTCACTTATGAAAAACAAAAGAACAATCAAGTTTATGCATCAGAAACTCTACAAAATAGCCAAACTGCGAATATAGTTGAGTTGAGTTTTGTGAAAATGTGAACTTCTAAAATTCAGTTTAGTGAATAACCCTAAAATCCCAAATACGTATTTTCTAAACCTTCACTTTCTTGTTTATCCTTTTCCATCTTCTTTCAAGTATTCTCAGAAAACTCACCTATGCATCGTAATTTTTTTACTTTTATGTTTAAATTCAATGTTCTCCGTGATATAGAATGATTGATATTACTTGGTATAAGTGCCCCCTATGAATATTATGCCAGGTTACTAACACAGTGACTAAATAAGGTATCCTGCATTGTGTCCAGAGTGGCAGAACATCTTTTTCATAGTTTTCTGTATTTATTTTTTATGGAGACAAAGAAATAAAGAATAATACATACAGCGGCAATGATAAAGAAAATCAATTACATGAAATAGGTCACATAGGAAAACAGATAACAATAGGACAGTTACGGCATACAGTGAAAGATATATAGAGAGAGTAATTACACACAGGAAAGACGAAGAGAGAATACACTTGATTGAGAGGGAAGAGAAAGAGGTATAAGAAAAAGATTGGAAAGAAAGTGGTAGAGGGAATCCAAGTCTGCTAAAATGGACAGGGACAACCTGGCACGAAGGCCTGCAGAAGAAGGAATCCACAGAAAAAGCACCATTATTAGAGTTTGAAAGAGTAGGTCATGACAATCATGACTTTTGAGTATCAATAAAACCTGACATTGAGTATACTTTTATGTGCCAGATGTTAAGTGAATGAGTCCTTTCATTGCTTGCATGACCTCCCCCATAAGGTCCATCCATTCTCAAACAGTAGGTGCAAATGTCTGATACCAGTGAAAAGGAGCTAAAATTTTAGCAATGTTGTCAGATGAATGACTGCAGTCTTTTTATATTCAGAAATAGGGAATAGTTCACGGTGTAGGAGAAATGGTTTGGGTGGGTTGTGAGGGAGTATGAGTGATGAGCCTTAGGGTTGATTAAATCTGAGACCAGAAAGGGTTGATGATGAGACAAACCCACTAGATTTGTACTAGATAGTAGCCACTAGCATACAATCTCGAGCTGTGAAAACGAGTGATGAATTGCAAAGTTTGTTTAGCAGCTTGCTGATTATATTTAGTTGGAAGTAGAGTACTGTGTGAATGTGTCATCATTTTCTCAAATTCTTTCTACAAAAACATGTTTAGGACAATTTCTCATTTAGCTATGAACGAGGGATATATTTTAGATATGTGAAAGTAGTGGGTGTCATAAATAAGTCTACTCCAGGCATGCTTTTTGCTTGTTTAAGTGGGTTCAAGGGATGAAAATCACTAGTCAATAGTTCAAAGAGAATGATAAAAAAAAATTCCATTGCTACTGCCACCCATACTAAATGCCACTGGGGGAACTACTGGCAGTGCAGCTGGTGTACCTCATACTTGAGGACACGAACACCCAATGGGCATCTCTGATTAGGGACTCGGTCAGGTGCCGCGGCCCTTTAACTGCACAGTCAGACAGTCAGATCACTTCCTCCCAGCTTACACAGCAACGTGCAGGAAGGCAGAGGAGAACCCGGAGAGAGAGGAAGAAGCAGACTGAGAGAGCCTGGACCAGATTCCAAGCAGCCAGATCCCATAACAGGACCAAGAGGAACCACCCTCCTGCACCCAAACGTTATGAAGACAGGGATGTGAGTAAAACATGTACCTTATGGCTTGTGTGTGTTATTGTTAGCGTGAGTGTATTTGTGTGTGTCAGTGTGCAGTGGCAGCACTAACACCAGTGTGGCTGCACTGGGGCCTGCACACTGAGTGGGCCCATTGGGTGGCCCATGCACTTTCGGCCACCAGATAGGCATGTGTTCTCAAGGGTCCAGTCATGCGCTTCTACTCTTTGACATCGCTGGGAGGAAGTAAGTGCCAGTCAATTCCTCCCAGCTAACGTACATGGAGCCACGTGGGAGGGAGAGGAAGAAGCGAAGAGGAGTGGTGACTCAAACTGACTCCCAACAGCCTTAGCCAGCAAAAGCCACCCTCCAGCACCCAAAAGGTAGAAAACGGGTGGTTGGTTAAAAGATGACTAAGTGTGTCTATAGGTTTGTCATTGTGTGTGTCCGTATATCTGTATGTGTTTCAGTCTGTGTGTGTGTGTATCTGTTTGTGTGTCAGTGTTTGCATCTGTGTATCTTTATGTGCCCCTTCTGGATTGCTACCTTGCCGTGGTAAAGGGGCTTGTGTAATTCAATTAAGCTATGAGCTATACCATGCAGGGGCACCCAAGATGGGCAGGTCACAGCAGAGAAGTCAGACAAATTGCAGTCCACTGGAGAAGGAACTAACGACGCCCACTCCAGTAACTTTGCTAAGATAACTATATGGACAAGCACATAACGATATGGCACTGGAAGATGAGCCCCTCAGGTCAGAAGGTGCCTACCACATTACTGAGGAAGAGCAGAGGGCGAGTACGAGTAGCACCAGATCTAATGAAGTGGTTGGGCCAAAGCCGAGATGGACACCCAACTGCGGATGTGTTTGGATGGGAAAGGAAAGTCCGCTGCTGCAAAGAACATTTTAACATAGAAACCTGGAATGTTAGAACTATGAACCAAGGCAAATTGGATGTGATAAACGAGATGACAAGGTTAAACATCGATATCCTGGGAATTAGTGAACTCAAATGGACTGGAATGGGACATTTCACATCAAACAACCATCACATCTTCTACTGTGGTCAAGAATCCCTCAGAAGAAATGGAGTAGCCATCATAGTAAATCATCAAGTGGGCAAAGCAGTGCTCGGCTACTACCCAATAAATGACAGAATGATTTCAATTCGAATTCAAGGCAAGCCATTTAACATCACAGTGATCCAAGTTTATGCTCCAACCATGGATGTTGAAGAGGCTGAAATTGTCCAGTTCTATGAAGATATTCAACACATGATAGATATAACACCAAGAAAAGATGTTACTATCCTCATAGGAGACTGGAATGCTAAAGTAGGGAACCAAAAGACACCTGGAATAACTGGCAAGTTTTGCCTTGGTGTTCAAAATGAAGCAGGTGAGAGATTAGTAGTATTCTGTCAAGATAATTCTCTGGTCATAGCAAACACCCTCTTCCAACAGCCTCCGAGACGACTCTACACATGGACATCACCAGATGGACAATATAGAAATCAGATTGACTATATACTTTGCAGCCAAACATGGAGGAGCTCTAGAAGAGAGTGCAAAAGCTGGCTTGCTGCTTAACGTTAAAAAGACTAAGATCATGGCAAACAGCAATCTTAGTTCCTGGCAAATAGATGGGGAAGAAGTGGAGGCAGTGACAGATTTTATTTTCCTGGGATCCATGAACCAGATATTTTATTTTGGTGGGAGGGTCTGGGAGGGAGGGTCTGCTGCTGATTGGCTGGAATGTGTCTGCTGACTGTGAGGTACAGGGTCAAAGTTTACTCAATGATGAGTCCGCGGCGAACCGTTCGGGACATCACTAAATGTCAACAGTACACACAAATGTACACTTGCATTTAAATGTCAATACTTCAAACACAGCCTTGCAGTCAAACACAAACAATACACATATACACACCTGCATTCAAACACCAACACTGCATACAAATGCACACTGTCAGCCAAATGCCAACATTACAGACAAACATGCCACAGATTCAGTTCATTTTCAAATGGGAACAGTATGTAAAAATGCACTCCTAAATTCACACACATATAATCCGTATAAAAACATACTTATCATAAAAAACACAACACTGCTCACAATTACAACCCCTCAAGGGTGGGAAAATGGTAGATCCCCACCTGGCAAATCATAGTGAGAGTTGCACGACAGTTGAGAATGTACCTTTTGGCCACCATGGCATTAAAGGGGGTCCCAAATTTCTTGCACCAGTACCCTATCTACATTAATTCTGCCACTGCTGTTTACCCAGGACAAATTTGATTTCAAACTCCAAAGTGCAAATATATATGAAAACACACTATTAAATGTATCTCCTTGGTAACATTAATCTTGTACTAAACAAAGGTAGAACATAATCAATGAACATTTATAATGAGCAAAAAAATAGTCACAGTGCATACTTAGAAAAAAATAGTTACATCAAACTGGTGACAAAGAGAGGGAGCAGTCACACGCAGAGTGAGATTTGCGTACACTGCATCTACCCATAAATCCAATGATAGGATGGGCAGAGGGCCAGGAAGGGAGTAGGAGAAACACATATGAGGGAGGCTGGAGAAATACTATGGGAAGATTGGGCTGCAGAAACAGACAAAGGATGAACGGTATTCAGAGCGGCACACAGGTGTTGAGGAGGCTGCAGATACAAAAAAATACAATATTGTCCATTGTCTGCCAACAGGCAATTATGCAAAAGATGCCAAATATCCTTTGTGCTTTGTATGTTTGTGCTCATGATAGACATTATATAAAGCTTTAGTTTATCTTAAATTGTTCCTTTTTATGTGATGACACAGGGTGTGTGTAGAAATCTCTAAAATTAACCCATGACATTGCAAATGCTATTCTAGGGAGTTTTTAATCCCCATTTTGATGACACAGACACTCTCATTGTATAACATGTATGTACAGAGCAAGGAATGTGGTGCGACTAAAAGTAAAGAGACTACCCCACTTATCCCCCCAATAACGACAGACAACGAATATTGGATGAAACAGTCCACAGCATTTATTAAAACTTACAACTGTAGGACTCATCCGAACTTTATTCTTTTCCTTTAATTCAAATATAAATAAACACATAAATATATATGCATACCATAATTAACATATATATTAACACTTATTGCCCTACAGCCTCCAACTTAAATAACCGTCCTTGCCAACTTTACCCACTGGTGTCTCGCCTCCCCCCTCGTCCAAACCAAAATTCCCATCATCTTAAATGCTTTTTGCTCAGTGGGCACGTCCAATTCGGTAACTTGAAAGTTTACCTTACAGAGCAGGGGAGGTTAAGACCCACCTTGTCCATCTCCTGACATTTCATCTGCTCCCCAACCCTGTTGGCAAGGATGCGCTCCCCGCCACAAACCCCGCTGTTTTAAACCTAAAATCAGTGGGGAGCCCCACCACAACCAACCAAGGCCTGTTCCACCACTTCCTGCTTGGCAAGACGAAAAAGGTTGAGCCCGACCTCCATCACCCAGAAACACATTAGATGCCACGCATGCGAAAACACCCTGTGGCGAACCAAAATCCCCTTACCCTCAAACACACCTAGAGGCCCTCCAATTATTGCTTCATATGGCAGCGTACCATGAACTGATTATGGGCCCGCTGCCAAAAGATACAGGAAATGACCTCCGACAAATCAAGTTTTTTTTTGTTGTTTTTTTATTTATTTATCTATTTATTTATTTATTGGAACTGCATTTGTTATAATATATGATAAATACTGTATAACACATCCATAATTTATTTTAACAATCTCTCTTCTTTCCGTAACCAAAACATTAAAAATAACCATAACTTAACACATAGTGTCATAAAGTGAACCCAACACCACGAAAACAACTAAAACACGCACCAATACCCTCGTAGGGGCACCAAACAAACGATCCTCCGCTTCAGAAGGCGCACAACCCAATAGCTCACCTCCCGGACAGACACCCACATGCCACCTGAGAGTATAACCAGGAAAAAGACATCCAGATATTTTCTGTTTTCCAAGTGCACCCTGGGAATTATCCCTTTATACTATCATCCCCCATGAAAAAGGTTGCAAAGCAGTCACTAAAATCCATAATTTATTTTAACAATCTCTCTTCTTTCCGTAACCAAAACGTTAAAAATTAATTACATATATAACTTAACACATAGTGTCATAAAGTGAACCCAACACCAAGTGCACCCTGGGAATTATCCTTTTATACTATCATCCCCCATGAAAAAGGTTGCGAAGCAGTCACTAAAATCCATAATTTATTTTAACAATCTCTCTTCTTTCCGTAACCAAAACGTTAAAAATAAATAACATATATAACTTAACACATAGTGTCATAAAGTGAACCCAACACCACGCATCACGAAACAACTAAAAAACGCACCAATACCCTCGTAGGGGCACCAAACCAACGAACCTCCGCTTCAGAAGGCGCACAACCCAATAGCTCACCTCCCGGACAGACACCCACATGCCACCTGAGAGTATAACCAGGAAAAAGACATCCAGATATTTTCTGTTTTCCAAGTGCACCCTGTGAATTATCCCTTTATTCTATCATCCCCCATGAAAAAGGTTGCAAAGCAGTCATTAAAATACTTAAAGCAGAAAAAAGAATGCCAGAATCTCAAATTCTCTTTATTATAGAGGGTATTACGATCATTTCAAACAAAAACTTTTTTTGGTTTTTAGATTCCTTTTATGTCCAGAAAAGGGGCACGGCTATGGGAACCAGGTTTGCCCCAGTTATGCTAATTTATTCATGGCAGATTGGGAAGTCGATGCAGTTTGGGGTGACCATGACTGGATGGCAAACCTGGTTTCCTATTGCCGCTACATTGATGACCTGTTTTTTTTTATCTGGAATGGCACAGACAGTTCTTTAGAACTGTTTTTAAAACACCTAAATCAAAATGATAGAGGTATAGTTTTAACTACAGTGTCTAGTAAAGAAGAAATACACTTGTTAGATCTAAAATTTTTTATCAAAGATGGGCAATTAAACACAAAAACTTTTTTTAAAAAGGTGTGCACTAATACAGTTATTGATCAAAAAAGTTGCCAGCACACACCTTGGCTTGAAAGCGCTCCTAAAAGCCAATTCTTGAGACTCAAAAGAAACTGCACACTCAATGATGATTTTAATGAAAAAAGTAACGATTTAAAAAACAAATTTTTAGAGAAACACTACCCAGAGGACAAACTTAACACTATAATCACCAAAATAAAATCTAATGACAGAAGCAGCCTTTTAAAATATAAAAATAAAGAAACTCAAAATACTACTCCATTCTTTCCCACCATTTTTGACATAAACAACAAAAACAGAGACATTAAAAAACATTGGCACATTTTATCAGAAGACCCTGTTCTTAATAAAATGATTCCAGAAAAAAATAATATTATCTTTCGAGGTGCTCCCAATTTTAAAACACTTTTAACAAAAAATTTCACCAAAACCAAGCTAAACAAACCATCCACTCTATCCAACATCAATGGTTTTTTTAAATGCAGAAAATGTATTGTCTGGAAAATCACCCGAAGTCAGTCCCAAATAAAATCACTAAATTTAAATCTAATATTACAAATAAAAGTTATAATATAAAACATTTCATCACATGCTGCACAAAAAATGTCATATATCTACTGGAGTGCCCTTGTGGAATCCTAAAATCTAAAAACTAGGATATCTGAACATTGTCGCAACATTAGAAATCGTTTTGAGAACCACACAGTTTCAAAGCACTTTTTAACACACCACCAAAAAAAAACCAAATGTCCTTAAATTCACCCCTATCCAAATATGTACAATCCCATGGAGAGGTGGTGATATAAAAAATATTTTGGGTAAATCGGAAATGTTATGGGTTTTTAATCTTAAGACACTTACCCCTGACGGCCTAAATGCAGATTTTGATCTGTTTAATTTTCTGTAAATTTAATTTTTTTTAAATATTACTATCAACAACCTTTTTAATATTTTAGTCATCAACCTTGTTCTCTCCTGTTACCTACTTCCACCTACAATTTCACATCCAATGTCTTATAACCCCATGATAAGTATTTTAGTAACCAATAAGTAGCTTTTTAATTCCAAGCCTTATAATGTTTTTGACTATATTCTAATGAAATACAAGCTAATGTAATTGTATGTATATTATATTTTAAATGTTTATTTAACATATGAATTTGTCATAGACATGTTATAGTCTATTATATGCATGCTTGTCACTTTAAAAGCTACCCCAGTCCTTCTTCTATAAAGAATTATATATTCACTTTGCTATAAAGAATTACACTCCTATTTAACCACTTTCCCTCACTTTGCCCACAAACAAGATGGCCGCCATGCTTATATTGTATCTTCCCCACTCAGCACCCAACCCCCTTCTATTTTGGCCGTGAGGACCGCCCCCTTTCAGATCACGCCCTTCATTTCGGACGTTATCATAACTCCACTTCCCATACTGCCTCTCGGCAACCGCCGACCCCACCCACGGCCGCGATTTCGCGACCTTTCACCTCTAGATCTTTTTTTTTCACTTCCCT